ATTAAAATGTTATCAATATTAAATAATAYAATTAGATTTATGGAAGTATCCGTTCWGCATCCATTGTTCGCAGCAGTAAARCAGCGGTTGGTAAATGTGGCTGGAGGTTGGGGGATGGAGGCAAAACGTTTTTGATGAATGGAAATTAATATTTATTTTTACCAAGTTTATAGAGTATAAATATTCTGTAGACAATTGTAGATTATGGTGTATGAGTAAGTCTTTTCTTTTTTTATTGACATCTATGAAGCGTGCCGGCTCCCTAATGATTCGTTTGTCACATAGTGACAGAACTATTATCAGAAATGAGCTAAAACATTAGCGGGAAACGAGTCTGAATTTCGTGTTTTACTAAAAAAAATGGCTTTCTTTATTCCGCTGCATGTTAACTGTCAACGTTACGCTATACCAATTGCGCGCATGTGTCTACTGCTGTGAAGCTACAATGTTTAAAAATTAAAAGATTTCTGAGCTTCGCAGCGAACGTTACGAAGTTTTCGCTTCTTCAAGCTCCTAATCAACCAACTCATGTTCACCGACCTGCGAACTTTAAGCTTTTGGAACTCAAAAGTCAAGTTTCCGGTTTCGTTAGATTTATTTTCCATCGCCAACCGCGTTTTTTTAAAGTCATTCTTTACCCTTCTGTATCCAAGTCTGTAAACAGGAATCTTACTATGTTTATAACGTGGAATTTTTAACTTGAATACTAAATACTTGTACGACGGCATATTGAAATACGCAATGAAAACTAAGGCCACCCCAGTGATGTGTTTATGTTAAGCAAACAAGCCCTATGGGGTCCCGGGGTGAATTTACGCGTCCACAGGGTGTACRCTTCGATTTTTGGCAAGCTACTCCTCTCCCTTTTTCTCTTCCTCTCTCATCCCCACTCCTCCTCCTCTCTCGTTTCTCGTTCCTAGTTCTTCTCTGCCATAAGATTTAACACAGAGATCCCAACGGAGAATGTATGGAATAGCCTGCGGAGGTGGCTAAATATAAGTAATGATTTATAGAATAGTTCAAATATAACGCTGTTTGACTGTTTATGTCAAAGGACAGAGACTCTCTCAAAATCGCTAAAAAATACTTTATAAAAGCAATATACATGATGGCTGCTTTAATGTCTCTGTATTGGACTCTAGGAGCTGTAGAGCACTCGAGAAGCAAAAGAAACGCTGGGCTACGTCTCGTGCTCCTAAGCTTGCTTTTCYCGTACTTTACCGCAGCTTCCAGCCTGTTTATATCACCGTACAAAGGCATGCGCCTTAAGGRTGATAGTTTGTGCGCAGATTTTTCATTTTATGCGTTACTGAAATCCCTTTAATCATTTCAAATCATGCTAGTATACTGATCAATTGTAATCGTCGCATTCCGATGCGACAGTGGAAAACAACTTTGGAAATCAGCATTTCATCAGTTTTTTAAACTTCAAAAATCAACCAATCGCCATATTCCATACTGCGCGCGCTTTTTTAATTCCTCCTTTTACTGCCATTTTCATAATCATGCTAACTCGGTAGCTGCGAGCGGCACGCCTCATCATCAGAAGAAAGAACGAATGGATGAGCTTTATTTRTCCAAGAGATTTCATCAGTTGATACAACTGGTTTACATAAAAGTCGTGCACATAACAATATATACATAGAAAAGAACTATAATATGAATAATAATAACTATAAATAATAAAATTGCAATTTACAATTAAAAAGCTAAAGTGGTAGCCTTACTAAAATGACACCATCCCTGGAAATTGTACCATATAAAACTAGGTATGTAATATAGCTTACTGTCCAAAATCTTTTTCGATACGAGACTGGGTAGGTGTTGTATTTAGCCGGTAAAGTTTGGCCGTTTGATTCCGCCATTAAGGAGGCTCTGGGTAGTTTTGGTCTGGCACAACTAGCCGCATTGAAACGGCTACAACTTTTTCTTGAATAACTCGATCTGCAAGCGCTTTTCACACAATGTCAGGAAAGGAGTAAAGGTTTCACAAATAATAAATTAGTTTAAAGCGTCCTTTTCATTATGACGTAATGATGACATCATAGAAATCGTTTACCGCTTATTTTCTCCAAAACTAGACCTAATCTTTCGTTTAGCGATGTCATCTAGTTGATCAGCTAATTCTTTGGCAAGTTTGACGTGTTCAGTCGCTGCATTCCTCGCTGACTCAGTAACGGCTTTCTTCTTTTCGGGATCTGCACTTCAGCTTGGCGTACTCTTCAGGGGCATGTTTGTCTAGCTGCTCGAGAGCTTCTTGAACTGCCTTCTCAACGACTGCAACATCTGTTTCATTCAACGACATGGCTTGGGGCCAAATATCAAGATCTGCTTTTTATTACCGAGGATTTTTCTGTTCAAACCGGTACGCAACTGAATAAAATTCAAACAGCTAGACTAAGTATCAAAAAGGTTTTTCAAATTATCAACGTGGTGGAACCTTATTTGCGTCAAGAGGTAATACAGGGCGTTTGTTAGGCACGACTCTTGTTTTGTGATCTAGCAATCTGGCGGTAGAAGATATACATATGTKGCAATGATTACTGGGTTGCCTGTGTTAGGCTAATGTACGATAATATTTTGACGTCAAGTTTATCGACAAACTTTAAATGTTTTGTTTTCGCCGTCCTTTATTTTTTGGAAATACCGCTAGTTTTATTTTCAAACTTATTTATATTTTGTATACAAGGTTGACAGAAATGGGTCGCTAACGAAGTGTGAAATTGTGTATAAACAATTATAAAAGAAAAAGAAAGAAAACAGCAACGAACTATCTCCCAAATTGTTCATTGTTACCACGTCCATTGGTATCATCGCCTTTTGATACGAAAGTACAAAACAACTTTAGAAATGAGGGGTATCTGGCGTGATTTAAAGTCACGGATCGTGCCGGGTCGCTTCGTTCGCGGGTTGGGCCTACATTGGGGTGGATTTCAGCATTTGGTCTATGGTTGTATTTGATGTAAATCTGATTCAGTGTATGTATGATTTGATATGAGATTTAAAAAAAACTTTGGAAATGAGCAATCTCTATTTCAATCAATCAACCACCATTTTYCATGCTGTATTATTTTATTTTAATTTTTAAATTCTACAAGATTTTCGTCGACCAACAATGCGTGACTGTCACGCCTTCTACCGCACACATTTTTTACAGAAAGTTCTGGCTTTCTTCCATGTGATGCTAGTAGAATTTAATCTTTCACATTCTTCATAATTRATAGTATATTTATTTCTATACTTGAGAGCTTGATTCTTTATGGAGATTTCTAAACTGGTAAGATAACAAGTATTTTATGCAGGTCGTATCTTCATCTCGGCTCTCTTAGCAGAGTAATAATTGTTTTTCCAGTGATACCAGGCGACTCCATCAGCTCTATTTTTCCCGTGGTGGTACAGGCCGTTCAGGTTAGAGTAGTGACAGCTTTTGTACCACCAGGCACCTGTGTAGTTCACTGCACAGTTTCCACTTTTGGCATCATTGTCACGATCTTTGGTGGTGAAGGCCATACCACGATGGTAGGAGAGTGAGTCACCAGCAGTGCCTACGAGTGAAAACAGTAATTAATCTATTTGAAACGATTGAAATTAAAGTCAATTCTATGGRTTTTGATTGATCGTTTGCAACCACGTGTATTTTGCTAGTGCCAGAATATTTTTCGGTGTCAATCAAAAACAATCCTAATGACAATGTAGAACCACCAATAATACAGCTCTGGACATAAATTTGGAGTACTTGAGCATTTCTGAAACGAGCTTACGAAGTTTAAGATTTTTTCAAGTGTAAATGTATGGCGAAAATTCAAGACAAAAAATTATCAAGCTCACTTTAGACATGTATAAATTGAATACAGTTACGAACATGACAAATCTAAGAGTACTTTGATATGGTCGGGGAAGTTGCTTCATTTTTCTAGAACTGAATGAATGCTGCTGATTATTTTCATAATAAATCTTTAATATATTTCCAAGCAAATCAAAATATATAAAATCCGATGCTAAGCGAAAATATGCTAAAAATTAATATTTAAAATTCTTCATTTCTATGGCTCTTGAGATACTAATGCAAAAAACAAACGGCGAAACGATCCGAATTTTTCTACACTAAGTCACGTCATAGTTCTCTAAAACATATCATAGAATCATGTTTATAGAATTCATAATTATTTTTGAGTTATTTTCTTCGGTTCTATCACGTCACGTGCAAACAAACTATGAATTGGTGCCATTAAAAGGTCAAGGACCCTGGACCGGGGATAACATTGGAAAATATAAGAGACATGYATGGGAAAAMGTGGTGGCTAAGATTGGAAAATATAAGAGACTAGTATGGGAAAMAGTGGGGGCTAAGATTGGAAAATATAAGAGACTAGTATGGGAAAAAGTGGGGATAAGATTGGAAAATATAAGAGACTAATATGGGAAAAAGTGGGGGATAACATTGAAAACTAGCTAAAAGAGACTAGAATGGGGAAAGGGAAAAAGTGGGTGATGGGCTATAGCAATTAGCAACGTCGTCTTTGCGGTTCCCGATATAGGTCTGTTTATCAAAAGCAAGGTTTTAAAGTTTTTTCTCTTTTTTTAAGAGAGGATCTAGTTATTTCCTAACCTGAATAAGTTCCAAGGCTCAGTTTGTACTTGCTTCTTTCACTGCTCACAGCAAAGTAGTCGTACTCAGCATACACACTCTTCCCCTTGATGTCTTGTAGGTCAACACGAAGACGGTTACGAGTCTGATGGGTCAACCGGTTGATTTTATCCAGTCCCAACCAGAACTCG